AACGACGAAATGACGGCGGTCGATGGACGGTTCGTTAAGTAGATGGCTGGTCGGAGGACTAAGCACCAAAACCACCTCACTGTGGTTTCACACCCGCAGAGCAAGAGAGAGAGAAAGAGAGAGAGAGAGAGAGAGAAAGAGAGAGAGAGAAAGAGAGAAAGATAGATAAAGAGCGAGAGAGATAGAGAGAGAGAGAGAGAGGGGGGGAGAGAGAAAGAGAGCAAGAGGGAAGTAGTAAACAACTTGGAGTTCCTTTGGTCAGGACTCGTACGTTCCTTTGGTCAGGATCAACGACGAGGCTTTACACCTCTACGCGAAAGAATCCGTTGAGAATTGATCGTCTTGCGCCGATGCTCATTGCCGTGACCGAGACTTCCAGCTGGTTAGCGGATCTACGGAGGCTTCCTTCACTCTGTTTCTCGTCTCTTGATAATTCGAAAGAGGATCATTCCATAGAACGATCCAATTCTTTTCTCGAAGTCTCATCCCTTTCAATTATCTCCTTTTCGCATTGATCATTTCTATCTCGGACAACAAGGTGAGAATATTGTTGTAATAATAATTTTGACGGAAGAAGTACTTGTTTCTTTTTTTTTCTTCCGTTTTTTCTTTTTCTTTTCTTTTTTTAATTGTTTATTTGTTTTTTTTTGTATTTTTTTTTTTGTTTTTTTTTTTTTTATCTCTTTTCAGATAAAACTCGAAGGTGGAATTGAACGGGATAAATCTGTTTTTTTTTATCTTTTTTCTATTTGTTTTTTTTCACACTAGATTTATAACTACCAATGAAAATAATCGATTTCATTTTTTTTATAAAAATCATTTACTTCTCAATTTGTATCGTATTTCGTGTATATCGATTTTTATTTGGTAATAATTACAACATTTTTTCTCATTATATATATATATATATATATATATATATATATATATATATATAATTAATTTTATTAATTCCTCTTTGTTTTATCCTTCTCCTTCCATTTTTTATTGGTGTTTTTTTTCTAAAATACATACATAATTAAAAGAATCCTGTGTCTAAATATAATATATCGAAATTAGTTCGACGTTAGATATAAAATCGATTCTATCTTTTTGTCCGACAATATCATTTATATGGTAAATAGCAAAAATAAAAGCGACTAGACAAGAAGTTAATGGTTTTCTTATTTGATATGTTAGATTTACCACGGAACAATATTTTTATGATAATCACTATTGTCCAATGACAAAAGAATCTCTTGTAGTTTTATTATAGTAGGAGATTTTCAAAATCGAAGATTACGAATTGACCATCGGCAGTTCGACAACAGATGGTCGCCCCAAAACGGCGCACGCTGGTGTGGCTTTGTTTTGTTACCGTTGTTCCGGTAATTGCGGCAAATACACGGCCATTTTCGGTAATCACCCGCACGCCCCCTACCCTGCCCTATCCACGGCGGTCCCCTTTGAGAATTCTGAAACGACCTCGACCTTCCGCCGGTAGGCGTAACGACAGTTTCGTCCTCGGTGGACCCATACTAGCCACGACCTCGACTTTTAACTTATGTTAGCCATCGTATGTCAAAATTCTTTTCTAATCTTCTCTTTTTAATCATTATCTTTCTTTTCATTGCTTTTTTCTTTTTCTTTTTTTTTTCTTTCTTTTCTATTGTTTTTAAATCTTTCTTATCTTATTTTAATAAAAGATTGAATCTCGAAAGGAATAAGAATGAAATTCAACTATTATTTATCTTTTTTCTTTTCTTTTTTTTTATTTTCTTTTTTTCATCGCAATAAGCAATTTTCTAAAATTTCTTTTCCATTTCAATATTCAATAATTTATTTATTTAATTCAATTTTTCCATTCGATATATATTAACTCTTTAATACTTCGAAATGTTTTTGGATATATCTTGACTAATCGATTCATTGTAAAATAAGGAAAACTCTATTCTATTTTCTTTATTCGAAAGGATCTATCGATGATGGATCACCTACTCCACTCGCGTGCACCTCGTCACTTAATATTCGCATTCGCAAGCATGCCATCACCCGACCATAATTATCACCTCGCACTCGTATGCGTTACCATCCAATGTAGACAAGTTTAACGTTTGAAAAGTATTTACTGTCTTGTCGGAGACTGACATAAAGTGCAAACGATTTATGTCTTTGGAAAATAATAATTTAAGATTATTTTTCAAAAACAACGGCTTTATTACAACTATAATAATGCTATATATACCTTTTGCAAATTATTTTAAGCGAATCGAATAATTTAGAAAAATATTAATTATTGAAAGGTGAAATTTTTTTTAACGATGCAACAATTTTTGCGATATTTAAAAAAATGAAAAGAGCTTCGAAAATCGGAACAAAATAGAAAAATAAAAAAAGAGATGGAGAATAAATAATAAGAAAACAATTGTAAAATTGAAATTTTAATTTGAAAATTGGAAAATTGAAAATTTTTTTAAAGTTTTTGAAACGAATTAAGGAGTTAATAAAAGTGATTTATTAAAAAGTGAAATTCACGCGTATACGAAGTTGGAAAAGATTTGGAAAAATTTCCAAAATCGATACAATTTCGAAAAATCGAAACGAAATAAGAACATAAATGTAAAAAAGTAAAAAATAGAAGATAATAACAAAACTATTGTATATAATGAAATTGTGTACTTTTTTCACAAATCTTTGAATAAATTAAAAAGCTTATAAAAATAGTTCTCAAAACTTCAAAAGTGAAATTTAAACGTAGACACAGAAGATTCAGATATTTCAGAAAATTAACAAAGACTTCGAAAATCGGGACGAAGTAAAAAAAAAAAGAAAAAAAGAAAAAAGTAAAAGAAAAAAAGGAAAGAAATATGATGATAATAATAAAACGATTTTGATAATGAAACATTTTATTGACTTGACATTTTTTGGACGAATTAAAAAATTAATAAAAATAAAAAAAGAAAAAAAAAGAAAAAAAATAAGAAAAGATATATCAAAAAATGAAATTCGTGAATAATATGGTGCAAAAAATGTCGTGAAATTTTGAAGAACGACGACAGTTTCGAAATTTGAGACGAAGTAAAAAAAAAAAAAGAAATAGGTAAGTAAATAAATAAATAAAAGGAATGGGAAAGGGAATTGATTCCAGGAAATCATTGGATACAATGGACTCGTTCTTGGAAGCTAAGTTTTGTCATCGACTTCTCTGACCCGCCGAGAATCGTCAATGTTCGGACTTTCCGTCCGTACGTTTCTCGCCAGTCAATGATTTCCTTCGTCACGTATATATCTTCTTTCTTCTTCTCTCTCTCTCTCTCTCTCTCTTTCTTTTTTTTTATTTCCATATCTCTATATATATGTGTATATATAAAATATATATCTTACATACACTGGTAAAACTCACGGAGATTCCAACAGCAAACATAATTTACGTTTCTGAGATTATGAAAGAAAAAAAGTATTAACATAAACTCCATTTTTTACATGACGATTGAGCGAAGTTAAACGAATGAATGATATCATGATAACTTCATGAAAAACCTATATATAAATAACGTTAAATCAAACGGGTTTTATATATCCATTAAACTTATGTACTCATTTTAATGTATCGCATAAATTAAGATCTTACGCAAATGAATTTATAATTGATACAAAATGATAAGTTTTATTTGAATAATTATTGTAGAGTTCCGTTTGTATCAGCGTATCTCTGAGTGTAAATCTGTGTCCGTGTATATATATATATATATATATATATATATATGTATCTATTTACACAATAAATCTCGTCAGTTCGTATTAAAGAGATAAGTAACAACAAATTTCACCTCGCTGAGTCATACAATACTATATTTCGCTGTTGGCTTCTGTGAACGATACTCACGTTTTCTCTCTCTCTCTCTCTCTCTCTCTCTCTCCCTGTCTCTCTCTCTCTCTCTCTCTCTCTCTCTCTCTCTCTCTCTCCCTGTCTCTCTCTCTCTCTCTCTCTCTCTCTCTCTCTTCTTTTTGTCCTTTCTCCAGTGCTTGGAAATTCATTCATCGTACGTCGGTCTAGTCATGAAGTCGCAGCTGACTCGTAAGACTTATTATACGAAGAAATAACGTGATAAATAATAAACTCGTTCGGAATAGAAATTTCTTTAAGTATCCGTTTCGTTGGATCCACTTTGAACCATTTCATTTGTTTCAAACATATAATATTAGAAATGGTATGGTCTGATTTTAATTGGCCTTTTCAATGCAAAAATAATTAAATGTATCATCGGTCAACAGCTTATCGACCGTGAGGATAAACGTTCGTCGGTAAAAGGAAGAAAAAAAAAGAAAAATAGAAAAAAATAAATAAATATCATAAAAGAACTTGTAACATTGTAATCTTTGTAAAAGTAGAAAAATCAAAAAGTTTTGTTTTCTCGCTAGACTAACATGATCCAGAACGTCAGAAAGTAAATTTATGAACATTCATTTCTAACGAACGTTCGAAACTTCCGTCGTTCTTATACGAAATGACTCATGTCAATTAATCTGTTGGTGTTACTCACTCAAAATCCCGTTACCGACTCATGAACGAAGATACTGAAATGAAAGATGCTGAATTTTTATAAAGCTCCTCGATAATATTGATGTATTATAATAATTTTTCTATCTAAACAAATATTATATTTTTATATAATTATAATAATATATTATGATATTTATATATATATCTATATATATATATATATATATATATATATATATATATATATACATTTTTTCATTAAAAAAATATATAAGCAGAATTATATAAAATTTTATATATATATATATATATATATACAATTATAATATTTACATATATTTATATTAATATATTTTTATATATACTTTTTTATTAAAAGTATATAACTTTCGAGTTATTTAAAATTTGTATCGCAATGACTCTAAAAGTTATCACATAAGAATTAGATTAGGAACAAATGTTTCTCACGTTGTTCCTTAATGTATAATATTATTTGTATTTCTTATTTTGATTATAGACACAAGTACGAGCACCACTGAGTGGTCTTATCCATCGACAACTCCTTATCCAGCTCCAACAGTCAGTAGCGGTGGATCGTACTCTCCTATTCCAGGTGGTGCATTTTCTTATCCCGGTGAATCTTTATCACATCATCCAACAACGGAACCTGTACCGCTACCAACCGGTAAGTTGATCGATGTTCAAGACTATAATATCTACAATTGAAATCTTTCCTTCTTCTTATTCCTCATAGGTTTTATTTCGATTCAAGGACTTTTAAAAACTGACACGATACACGTAATATTCTAAGAAAAATGTATACTTCTCGTTTTATGACACAATCATACCATATGTGGTCTTACGTACTAATGTAACAACATAAACAAACGATAATAGAGTATTGTCTTTTTCTCTTTATCCGACAGTTAATTGCGGTTTTAAAATCATTGCACCTGAATCATCCTGTTATTTCAGTTTTACCATCCGAGAGTCAACAGGACACCTACACTCCAAACTGCGTTTCCATGTATTCCGGTCACGGAACTTCGTCAACATCGTTGCCTCTGATACCTGGAAAGCCCAATGACCCCGATATCTTCGCAGGTGGTGGAACAGGAAGCGCAAGTCCAGGATACCATTATGGTTCCTGGACACCTGGACCAGCTACACCAGTACCGGTCGCTTCACACAATTACAATCCTAATTATCAAGGATATTACAACAACCCAAGTCAAAATTACATAAGTCCGGCCCCGATGGTACTATATCCGCAGCTCTACAGTACGGTTAATCAGAATCAGATTCATCTGCATCTTCATGGTGATCTCAGCGACGAACAAGTCACAATTGCTGGAGGAAACTTAACGATCAGTAGCAATCGTTTGGAAATTGGAGTTCTAGGTGAAGAAAGCGAACAAAGAAACGACGTTTGGAGACCTTATTAAAGGATTTAAGGATTTAATAAGATATTGACAGTAAATAACAATTCGTTACGTGCGTTAATCATTAATAGTGAAGAATGTTGATGTGAAGCTCGGAGAAAGTTAACGATGGTTGAAAGTGCTTTTTTAGAATATTTTCTATTCTCGAGAACTCTTTTGAAACATCAACGTAAGTACATATGTACTCATAAATTTATTCTAAGGAAAGGCTGTTAATTAACGAGTGCTAAAAAAAAAAGATATGTTGAAGAATTTAATCGTTTCTTGTATAGTGCGAGATGTTGCAAGAAAGGGCAAAAAAAAAGTTATCTTAGACTATCGTAAGGCAATCTTGGATCTGGTGTTATTTTAAAGAAGACTGAGTACTCAGGATATCAGATTTCAAGTATTCTCAAGCTAAACGTGCTTTCTTTACGATCTTATCGAAAGCAGACATAGGGTGAATAAGTTTGCTCGAAGGATAAAAAAAGAGAAAAAAAAGAAGAAGAAGAAGAAGAATAGGAAGAAAGAAAAAGAAAAGTGAAAAAAGGGTAAGGCTTTTTGGTAGTATGCGCGTCGTGAATCGTTTTCAGCAATATCGTTCGTTCTCTTTTCGATCGTAAATTTGAGACGTCAGAGAACAGTCAGTGTATGTAAGTAAGTACTTATCAAATGATGAGAAGGTAGAGTCAAATAATGTAACGTTGTAAATATACAGATATTTTCCATGAAATAATAAATACGTACCTGGAGAGTTCCTACGTCCCTATTCGTGATAACTTGTCACAAACAACTTTAATCATTCATTTATAACCGTTTCTATAGAGGGGAGGAGAAAGGGGAGGAGAAGAAAAAAGAGGAGAGAAGAGGGGAAAGGATAAAAAAACAGGAAATAACGAAAAGAATACGACGTATGAACGATAAATATGAGCAGAGGATTGTTTCCTAGTATGTTTCAGTATTTAAAAAAAAAACGATGTAAATAATCCGAAGAAAAGAAGTTAGTGGATCGTTAAAAACAGAACTGAAGGCAATCTTGAGTTAATCTTTAAAGAAGAAAGCTTCTCTACTGTCTGCCGCCATTCGTCCCCCCTTCCAACACCCCTTCCCCCCCTCCCTCCCTACCTCCTACCTCAGTCCACGTGACTGAGTTCACACTTTCGAGTGATTTCTTCGTTCTCCCACTTCTCTTCCGTGATGTTTACAGCCCCGATGCATCCTGCGAATAGGACGCGAGGAATAAAACCATGGAATAAGGCGAGGCGGCCGTCGCTCATAAGCTTCTCTCTTTACGAGGATGACTCGACTCGTCTCCGACCGCAGACGAGAGTCTCCCGACTCTTTTCTACGTCCTTTAAGAACCAACTGAAATACGTTTCGTCTCGCAGGAAATGGTCGACATCTTCGTGCTCTCTTCTTCCGACCATAAATAGTGGGACAGATTTTAACTTTATTTCATTCCTACGAACTGTAATAACAATATCTAAATTTTATTTATTTATTTATTTTTTTGTTTTGTTTTTCTTCTTTTCTTTTTTTTTCTTTTTTTTTTTTTTAGTCGTAAGCGTATCGTATACGCGTCGTAAAGGTGATCCGTTCGTTATCAAAAACAAAGACGAAGAAGAAAAAGAAACAGGAAAAAAAAAAAGAAAAAAAAAATGGTATCAATTTGAGACCGATCAAATTTTTTTCTCACCATATTTATTTTCTCTCACGTACAGTCACAGTTGTTGCTTGCTTGCAGCCCCGAACGTTCTCTTTTACACAAATTTGATTATGATAAATTTAGTTTAGAATACTGTTGCATAACCACAGACGAAGTTAGGTGAGTGTGTGTGTGTGTGAATATGAGTGTGTGTTTGTGTATGCATGTGTGCGCACTATGTGATTAGTCAATTTTCTTCGTTCATACCTTTCTTTATATTTCTCTTTCTCTTTGCATATTTATATATACATACATACATACATACATACATACATACATATATACATACATATATACATATATACATATACACATACATATACATATATATATATATATATATACACACATACGTATGATGGATTGGACACATTGAAAAAACGGGAGAATACATAGGCACGTTTTATTATCAATTATTGTATTATCGAAACTTTTAACTTTTCCTCCTCTCGTTAAACGATCTAACGATCAACAAACATTTATAACATGTACCATACATTCACATTGATAGTGAGTTGATTTTTTTTTCTTTTTTATTCTTTTCTTCTTAATACGAATAGCAAATCGTCGTTTGGTAATCGTCCGTATTCTCTAATTTAGAAGCACCGCGTGTGGTCGATAAATTGGATACGTAGAAAAATAATAAATAATTTTTAATTTCAAAACGTACAGTTAAACTTTAAAAGACGGACGAGACATTGCCAAACGTCGATTTTAATATTTTAGTCCCTTCTCAATTTTCACCTCTTATATAGCGTTTAGACTATTTACAATAAAACATGATAACACTAGATGTAAATTAACAGGAATAGTTACGACGCATTGGGAGCATGTAAAGTGAGTGTATGTAATATATCGCGAGAACGTTAAAAAGCTATCGCATATTTCTGTAAAATCTTTTCTTTCTTTTTTTCATACTTTTTTCTCTTTTTTCTTTTCTTTTTTTCTTTTTTCTTTTCTTTTTTTCTTTTTTCTTTTCATCATCGCATCATAAATAATAGGCTTCGAATAATTTTCCTTCAACATTCTAGTTCATTCTAATTCTAATTTGGATTTGCTCCAAATAGGCCGTACCTACACTAAAAACTCTCTTCATTTTTATCAACAAAATAAGTGAAAGATAGATATATCTCAATAATATTACAAAATATTCTTTAAAAATATAATAAATAAGTAAATAAATAAATAAATAGATAAATATATATATATAAATAAATTAATTAATTGATTAACAAGAGAAGAGAGACTATAGAAGAAGCAACGGAAAAGGAAAAACGAAAAAGAAAAAAAAATACATTGAAATGGCTTGTTTTAAGTACGTACTCGAACATTTTCTGTCAAACACTTACTAGCGCGGATTCATCGGATTTATGTTTGTCTTCTTATACGTTGGATGTAGAAAAAGATTCAACGTATGTACTGTGTACGTACAACAACAGCATAGCTGGCTGCGACTGGACCGCAAACTACAGTTAAGCGCAAGGAGCATAAAAGAAGAATCGAGAAGATGTGCGTGCGAAGTAAATCGTAAATAAAATTCTTCTCTCTTTCTTTCTTTCTCTCTCTTTCTCTTTCTCTCCCTTCCTCTCTTTCTCTCTCTCTCCCTCTTTCGATTTCTCTCTCTCGCTCTCTCTCTCTCCCTCTTTCGATTTCTCTCTCTCGCTCTCTCTCTCTCTCTCTTTCTCTCTTGCCTTATGTTGACGGTCGTTCAAACGCATGACGAAATAGAGATAAGGCTTAGATTCGTGTCAGGAAACAGGACACCGTCTTTCTATGACCGAGAAAAGTAACGAGAAACTGCAATCGTTCGTTCATTTCTCGTTGTCGATCAAACATCACGGACACTATTATCTATCGTACTGAATAAAGTGACTCGATAATTGTTTCAAAGTATTAAAATTATATATATCTATATCTAACTAGTTTGTAAATTTCTATCTTGACTTTAGATTTCATTGTTTTTCTATAGCTCTCTCTCTCTCTCTCTCTCTCTCTCTCTCACACTCTCACTTTTTTTTAACGAACAAAAAATGTCTTATAAAAACAAATAAGAAGAAGGTATCCCTAACTTTTTAATTTCTATGCAATCCAAAGTAATTGTAAAGCAATTAGAAATTTAAAAGGAACGAATCTTCTAATACTCTCTTTCGTTGTCACATACGTTCGTTCATTTCTAATACTTAATATCTTATTTCTTTCTCTCTTTCTTTCTCTCTCTTTTTCTCTCTCCCTCTTCTTTCTCTATTTTTCTCTATCTTTCTCTTTCTCTCTCTCTCTCTCTCTCTCTCTCTTTCTCTCTCTCTCTTTTTCTTTTTTTTCTCCCCAAAAAATTCTAGCTCATCCAGAAAAATGCTCCTTAGGAAGTTCTTTAATGGACCATAGAAAAAAACATTTGCTCCCAGATGAGCTGTAGCTGTTCCTAGTTGTTGGTCAGTCCGTAAAACACAGCGATACGGTGAAAGAGAGATGAAAGTCGTTGTTTCAAGATCTGATCGATAGCGTGTCTGGTAAGAATCCTGACGCCACGTACCAGAACAGGAAGTAATGGCGCCAACCGTTCATCCTGCGAACATTTCATTATCGTTTCCTCCATTTATCGATATTAGAAATATTAGTTATCAATATTAGATATATCTGCCAGATTTTTTAAGCTAGAACAGAAAAGAGAAAAAAAAAATATAGATATATTTATATGTATTTCCCACTCACCGGTAACGCTAAAATCCATTCGAGTGCCGTACTCAAAGTTTCTGCCCAAGCTTTCCTATGAGCCTCGCTGTCCTTATTAACGTTAATCCTTTTTTTAAATTCAATTTGATGATTTAAAGATTGTCGATCGTCGAGAAAATTTTCAGCTTCATCTTCCTCGTCCTTTAAAAACGGATTAGTCCTAAATCCACGTTTGCTACGTTCGTAATCGCGCAAAAGTTCGTCGATATTGTTAAAATTTTTATAAGAACGATCGACCGACTCGTCGTCGTCTTCATCCTTCGAATCGTAAGAAATTGATGTCTCGTGAATGATTTTTGGAGATTGGGGAACCGAGGAATCTCGGGTTCTTCGTAACTCCATCACAGATTTCGAACGTAAATTTGTAGGATCGAAACTGACAAGATCGTTGAAATTTTCAATATCAGCAGTCATTATGAATTTGAGAGAAGTCCTTTTAGATAGTAAACAAGCCTCGCTTTTTCGTCGTTGGATGGATGGTTTCTCGTACTCGATAGCATCGTTCAAGGTAGCATTACTACTCGGTAATTTAACTTCGGGTGCAGATATGCCAGAAGTATCGGGTGACGAAGTCGTTCTCCAAAGAGGATACAATTGGTTTTGGCTGTTTATCATTTCTGGAGGCGCTGGTGTCATAGCTACAAGTTTGGCATCAACATAACCTTCACTGGAGGTACCTCCAGATCGATCGAAATATACTATCCTTTCTGTTACAGAACCTAGCCTAGAAGCTGGTCTGGAATCATCCGTTTCCGGCTCTGACTGAGGACCAGAGTCCGTTGAATATTCAGCTGCCAAGTCGGACAATCTGAAAGGTCTAAGATCATTTTCACATTCTGGTCCAAGTTCCTCCAAGCCACTTTCGTCGTCCAAACTAGGATTATAAACTTCAGGATCCTCGAGATCCTCTGGATCTTCGTTTTCTTCGACATCGTCGACTTGATCCTCATCCCTGTTTATTAAAGGATTATGCACACGTGTTTCCGTAGATGCTGGTGTGCTCGTAATGATTCTATCATGAATCGCTTCCTTCCTCGTGATTTCAGGATAATCGTCAGGTTGTGCAACCAAAAGAAATATCTTCCTTTCAGCAAAACTATCAGCTTTGGTATATT